CTGCTAATCGAGAGTTGAGCTTATTGTTGAGAGAAGGATTTTACCACATATTTATACTTGTTTGATTTGTTTACTTACTCTGTCCCATATTTGTTTACTTCTTATTGTATCTGCCTTATTGGACCACTTGTAAGTATCGATGTCGACCCCTCGTCACTATTTCTCTAGGGTTAGGCTAGATACTTACTGGGTACGCATTGATTTACGTACTCATGCTACACTTGCTGCATATTTTTGTGCATGTAAATATATGTCTTGTGATCTTTTGGGCGCAGAGGCGCGGATGATGCGGGGACTTACCGTAAGCTACATTTTATGTTACGATTCGCAGCCTGCAGAGTCTCCATCTGAGTTATTTATATTCACCTGTCTAAATTGTACTCCAGACAGATGTTGTAATGTATTATATTTCCTAGTTGATGTTCATGTACTTGTGACTCCGGGTTTTGGGGTGCTTATGGGTGGTTTATTATTGTAGTCGTGAAAATATTATTAGTTACCCTGTAAAAATTATATTTCTTACTACTTAATTGATGAAATTATGATTTCAAAAATACTAAAATGAGTAATTAAGTTAATCATCCATTGTTGGCTTGTCTGATGGCGGTGTTAGGTGTCATCACGACCTTTAGCGGATTTTGGGTCGTGACAGCTGTTGTGCTAGCAAAATGATATCTTAATCTTTGTTCTTAAGATGCCAGGCGACGTGATATATTTTGCAAAAGAGTTTGGGATGAATCTTTTCCTTTTTTTTCTTGTTAGTACATAGCAAACAAGTCTAGGATAAATCTATCAAAGTTCATTTGTTCTTATGATGAGCATAATTGAAACTATGATTTAGGGAAGTTCCTTTCGCTGAATTATGATGGTTGAAATGATGATTTTAGGGAAGTTTGCTTTGCTGAATTATGATACAGCTCTTCTTTATGTATCCTGTTAGGCGTTAGACCTTGGAAGAGGTGCGAATCCAGGAATTACATAGAAGAGATCTGGGAAGAGCTTGCGAAAGCAAAGTACTTGGAGTGGGAGCATGAATCTACAAGGCGCTCCTGGGAACTTCAGAACTTGAAGTAATAGCTCTTGCTTATGTCACTTATAAATTTCCGTTACTTTTGTTGGATTTTTATACCGATTACATAGGTCGTCTCCCCATCATTTTTATTGTGAAATGTGCCTCAGAGAATCCTATGAATTAGCTCTCAAGGAGAAACATGCACTTGATAGTTCTCGGAAGGAAGGGCACGTAGATGAAAACTCAAAGTCTCTTTTGAAGCAACTGGAAGCTGTGCGCGAAGTTTTCGTGAAAGCTGCAGAAGATGATACTCCAACTGAGGTGAGCATTCAAGCATTATCATCTTAGTGATTTCTCCCTTTTGAAAGCAACTGCATTGTATTATCGTTTGACACCGAGTATTTCCAGGTTCCTGATCACGTGTGCTGTAAAATCACTCTTGATATTTTTCGTGACCCTGTCATCACTCCCAGTGGTGTTACATACGTGCGGGCAGTGATCCTTGACCATTTGCAGAAGGTAAAATTTGTTTCTCATCACCTTAGGCATCTCAGATTCTCTTCCATTTACATTTTATCGATATTCCTGAGTGTGCCAATTACAATCACACGAGAACCACTTTATCCGCCCCAGTTGGTGCCAAATCTAGCCATAAAGGAAGCTGTACGCGCATATTTGGATAGGCAAGGCTGGGCATACAGGATAGAGTGAAAAAATTTCATTGGTATGATCAAAAATATCATCTGATGCATGTCAACGGTGGTGCTAGTGAAACCAAGAACAGAGCCAGAGGGAAGGGAGGACACGGCTTTTTGTGAGAGTTATCTGGCTAACAGCTTCCAGTATGATTCAAATATTAACATGATTTCCCGTATAATTTATGTTAATCACAGTTGTATAGTGTAATGCTTTTGTAATGGCTCGTTGGTCTTAATTAATTGTACAGCAAAACACTGGGGCGGATCTACCACGGCATCCGCTTGCTTCGCTAAAATTCTTATTATGTACATAATATCTCTGTGAAGAAACGTATAAATGGATAGAGTGGCACTCAAAAATCATAAAGTGGAAGCGGGTGTCATTGGTTCAACCTTCTCTTTGAAAGCTTTTCTTGGCCTCATTAATGCAAGTTCGATTCCCCATTGGAGCAGCTCTTTGATTTTTCCTTTTTTCTACTTATTAAGATTTCTTTTATTTTCAGTTGAACCCTAGGGCCCCACCTCTTTTCCTTCTTTTTCGGTTCTTTCCCTCCTTTTATTACTTGCTAAGTCACTCTTCTTCATTTTTTTTAACTTTCAATCATTATTTTATTTCTATCATTATACCTTACTTTATAAACAATTATTTTCTATAGGTAATTTTAATTGATTTTAATTAGAATATAATTTTTGTATTTTTAATGAAACGATATTAATTTATATATTGGAATATAATTTGAGCAATATCTTCTATTAGGTTTTGAAAAAAAAAATTAAATGGCTTGATTGATAGTCGTTTTGAGTTGAATATAGGGTTGGCAAGTGGGCCAGTCCCGGGCCTAAACGGGCCAAGTGGGCCGGCCCAAACGGTTCCGGACCGGTCCCAAATTAAACGGGCCAAACGGGACCGGGCCTAAACGGGCTTTTTGTAGGGACCGGTCCGGGACCGGGACCGTTTGGTCCCGGGCTAAACGGTCCCGGCCCGCGGGCTAAACGAGCTAAGTGGGCTAAGTGGGCCTAACATATTATTTTAAAAAAAAATAAAAAATAAATAGATATTAGAGACAAAAGGATGTTAAAAAAAATATCTAAGACAATGCGTTGTAAATTTTATTATAGAATTGTGACCTAAATTTTAATATTCAATATTTAATATCGAATATATATAGTATATAAGATGCATATATAGTATATCGATATAAGATGTATATATAGTATATATATATAAGTAATAAGCTATATTCGATAAGCTATATATACATCTTATATACTATATATAAGATGTATATATATAGTATAGTATAGTATATATATTAAATGTATAAAAAGTTCGGGGTTAAAACAAAGTTGGGGGGGTTAAATGACTTTTTTATAAATAGCCAACGGCTATTTTTGACAGGCCAACAACTATAATTTTTTTTTTTTTAAAAACAAATAATATATTTTTTTAAAAAAAATATAGTCGTTGGGACCGTTTGGCCCGCTAAGGGACCGGTCCGGTCCCTGGCGGGCTAAATGGTCCCGGGCCTGGCGGGCCCAAATCATAGGACCGGCCCACTTGCCACCCTTAGGTGGAATAAGGAGGTCTTCGGGAGGGTGGAGGTCAAAATGAGGGAGTTTATGCATGAATTGGGGGAATTAGAGAGAGGGGAAGGGGCGAGGGAGCTAGATGAATTTGAGAAAGTGAGATTGGGGTAGGTTAAGAGTGAAATAGTCGAGTTAGCAATAGCTCAGGAGACTAGTTGGCGACAAAAATCAAGGGCGCTCTGGTTAAAGGAGGGAGATTCGAATACCAAGTTTTTCCACAGGGTTGCGGTTGCAAATCGAAGGAGAAACTTCATAGAGTTCTTAGTTGTAGATGGGGTGAGGATTGAGGGAGAGGAGGTAAAAGGGGCGATAGTGGGGTTTTATTAGAACTTATACAAAGAGGAAGTTAGTTGGAGGCCTACTTTGGGGGGAATAGAGTTCAACCACATAGGGGAGGGAGACAGTGAGTGGCTAGAAAGAGCTTTCGAGGAGGAAGAGGTGCGCGATGCTGTGTCGAGTTGGCATGTGGAGTAACATCATGAAGAAGTGGGAAGCTTTCTATGGCAACATCACTTACAGGGTGGGAGATGGAAGGAGAATCAGTTTTTGGAATCACAGGTGGTGTGGAGAGGCTACTCTGAGGTCTCTTTCCCCCACGTCTTCAGAGTTTCAAACCAGAAGGAATTGATGGTCTAACAAATTCGCAAGGAGCATGAAGGGGATAGTATGAGACCTCTCTTTTAGAAGGAACATGCAAGATTGGGAGATTGCAGAACTCCAAAATTTGTTGGCATTGCTATACGGGCAAGACATGCCCCATCCATCTTACGATTCTTGGAGATGGGGGTTGCGTGGCGATAGCTTGTTCACCGTAAAGTCCTTTTACCAGAGTATGTTGGTGAGAGAGGAGGCTATTTTTCCATACTCATTGATTTGGATTCCTAAGGCGTTCCACGAAGGTGTGCTTCTTTGCATGGCTAGCATCGAGGGGAGTGATCTTAACATCTGATAATCTGCGAAAGAGAGGAATTACACATGTTAGTTGGTGCTACATGTGTAAAAGCTCAGGGGAAGAAGTTGATCATCTTATGCTGCATTGCCCCGTGTCCTGGGGTTTGTGGAGGGCAATCCTGAATCTTTTTGGTGTTCAATGGGTGATGCCAACACTGTAAAGGAAATGCTATATAGTTGGGCCGGTTTCCGTAGAAGAAGCAAGCAAAAGGCGTGGAAGTTCGCCCCGTTAGCTCTCATGTGGTTAGTCTGGGGAGAGAGAAATAGGAGAGTTTTTGAGGGGATTGAGTCTCCGTTTTCACATCTTAAGAATAGTCTTTTATCTTTGATCGCTTTTTGGTGCACACATATAGCCCCTACTTGTGTAGAAGATTGGGCGTCATTTGTAGAGAATCATGTTCTGATGTAAATTCTCTACTTTTTTGTATACTTCTTGTATGCGGGAGTTTTTTCTCCCTTTTGATTAATACAATTTACCTTATCAAAAATAAATAAATAATGTTATGTATTTTAGTTGAATGAACGATGAAAGAGGGAAGACTTACTGTTATGTTTGTTGAAATACATGTAATTTATTTAATTTGTCATTGAGTCACGTCATATATTTCCTGTTGGTGATTGTAGATATCAAACTGGAGCTCTGGCACCTTTGGTACGGTGGCTTTCACAAGGAATGCAGAGGGCAGCTGCACCTCCCCAGCCACCTAGGCCAGCCGTCAGGGCAGATAATGTACCAGCTGCTGGAAGGCTAGGGAATGAGAATGTTGCAGCTGGAGGTACTTTCGTTCAACTCATGTCAATAAATAAATAAATGCATCTTAGGTGGTGTTCATGGGGACTGTGCCCTTGTTGTAATGCCCAGCACCATCTTGGTGCACCGCCCTGTACATGATTAAAACTTTACTCTATCAAAAGAAGGAAAAACACATTGTAAACTGGAGTACTGATCTGATGGATAACTGATGGTAATTTTGACGCATGGTACCTTTGTGTGTGTGTGGGTTAAGTGCATGTTACGGGTTCGAACCCTGGTGCAGAAAAAAGCTTGGTAATTAGGTGAAGAAGGGTAGAGGGATAGGTCCATTATCTCACGAGTTGCAAACTGTGTGACAGCTAGTCCTTGGGGATTTCTCGGTTGTTGGAATTCTTTTAATCCCTCTTTGTAAAATTAGTGTGTTGATTTATCATCTTCACTAGGAAATGTGCGCTTCGTGGATTGCTTCCAAACATAAGATCTACTGTGAGATACCGGAACTTCTCTAACTTTTGGTCATATTGTTGTGGCAGAGGGACAACTTGGAGGCGAGAATGAGAATCAACAAGGTAACGATGTAAACAGGGTAGGTGAGAACGAGCCTGCAGCGGAACCTGGTGCTGCTGATGGTGGCAATCGCTGGTGGGGTATTGCGAAGGAGATTCAACTGATTGTCTTTGGGTTCATCACTTCCCTTCTTCCAGGTTTTCACAACATTGATTAGACTGTACAGATCAAATAGCAAACAGAGGGATAAAGAGAACTTTCCTTGTTTCCAAAATTTACAATGGCCAGTTACTACTGCTCCATGTGTTTGAGAGGACTTCAAATGTATTACGTAGTAGATTTTTTCTCTTCATTTTGGTCATAAATCTGAATGTCATTCTTGCTTTTAATTTGATTGGCAAGGCTTTGTGTTTAAATTAATGGAAATGGTTGTTTAGTTCCCGTTTTATGTTTGTTTATAATTGCGGATTAAGTTGAGAAGAGAGAATTCTAATTGTGATGATTAAAGACATGAGAAAGTCATTTTCAGCATGAGAGATTACTTTTTTATGATAACTCATAAGAATAGTGAGATTATATTTTAATTGGTTTGAGGATTCCGACTCTCATTTTACAGTATCTTTGAGTTACGTGAATAAAGAAAGTATTGTCTAATTCTTGCGATTTTAATTATATGATGATTAGTTGTAGTATTATTTGCGGCTCCTAGATGAAAAAGGATTTAATTACATAAAAGTGGGTGAAGAAAGCCTACTGAGTATATATTATAGCTTTTATGAAGTCAGCTCTTTTTATTTTTCTCAAGGATTCACTGGTTTTATGAATTGGTTTCTCATACTTCTTTAAAATAAACTAAAACTCGGTGTAAGCCCTTTTGATACACTTCTTATCAGTCTTGGGTGGAGGGCTAGTCCACTATACCAGGTAAAGGAAATCACACTGTATAACCGCTCTCAAAATAATAGCCGAAAAATATATATATATATATATATATATATATGTTTTGTATATATATACATTTTGTATGTTATGTACAAAAATTATACAAATTTTATACACTTTTCGGCTACCGAATATAAATAGTTTCTGGTGCGGGCTAAAAGTGATAAGACCCAAAGTCTTTGTTTAACAAAGCCTACTATTATCGCTTTTATGGAGTCTAACTCCTCTGATTTCCTCAATGATCCACTGAGTTTGTAATTTGGGTTCTTAGTTTTTTTGTTTCCTGTGAATGTTTGTTTTCTTGGTATGTGATCTCTCATTATTGAGTACCACTGGAAAATGACCTTGAATTCAAAGAATGATTTAGGTTCTAATGGTTTTTCCACTGTAGGGTAAATGCATTCTAAGGTAACAGATTACGAACTTTGTACTCCAATTCCTCTAAAGTTCTCACTGATATTGTTTAATAAAAATAATATCACTCAGAGGTAGCTATGCATATTCCATAGAATAGCAATATAATAATGTAGTAGGTTCAAATATCTTTTCTTTTGTAGCTTATATTTATCATAGGAAATTATTGAAATATGAACATAATATCTCATTTTCTAACAGCGAAACAGACTTGACATAATAATGGGATGCCAGAAAGAGAGGAGACTTGGAAAAAAATAAAGGCGAAATTATTGAAATATGAACATAATATCTCATTTTCTAACAGAGAAACAGACTTGACATAATAATGGGATGCCAGAAAGAGAGGAGACTTGGAAAAAAATAAAGGCGAAATTATTGAAATATGAACATAATATCTCATTTTCTAACAGAGAAACAGACTTGACATAATAATGGGATGCCAGAAAGAGAGGAGACTTGGAAAAAAATAAAGGCGAAATTATTGAAATATGAACATAATATCTCATTTTCTAACAGAGAAACAGACTTGACATAATAATGGGATGCCAGAAAGAGAGGAGACTTGGAAAAAAATAAAGGCGAAATTATTGAAATATGAACATAATATCTCATTTTCTAACAGAGAAACAGAC